TTTTGGTGAGCAGAGCCGCTTGGGGAGAGGGAGGGATGCTTTGCATAGCGAGCCCTTTTTGTTGATCCCTTTCGTCGAATGACGCCGATTTCCCAAGAAATAAAGCCGACTCCAACGGATTTTAACGGGCAAGAATCATTCTGTCTGAATTTTTCCGTTTTTTATAAGCTCTAATTGACGTGCGAAGAAAGGAAAAGAAAAATTAATTCTAATAAGGAAAAATTGAAAAATTGGGTCTGACGTGGGGTTTCGAAAATGCGTGAAATCGGAATACGGTAGGGTCAATCGATGACGCAATGGAATTTTCTAAAATTTGGTGATGGGTGTTGGTGAAACCACCCTAAAGAATCGCCGCTATTCCGCAGTTTCCGAAAGAAACTCTGCTAGCCTGCCCTTTCCTAAAGAACCTCTGCTAGCCTACCCTTTCTCAAAGGGTCTCTGTCAGCCTGCCTTTCCTAAAGAACCCCGCCACTTCCTAAAAATACCTATAAGCCCCCTTTCCTAAAAATCTCTGCAACCTGCCTGGAAAAGTGTTAAACTGCTTCCTAAAAAAATTTCTGGTAGCGTGCCGTTTCCTAAAGAATATCTGCTAGCCTGCCCTTTCCTAAAGAATCTCTGCCAGCCTGCCCTTTCCTAAAGAATCCATGCCAAGTGGAAGAAATTAGAAAGGTGAAATGTTAAGATCATCATTAAAAAATTTGCATAAAAAATTGAGTTGCGTTGCGTGTCGCGGGAGCGGGAAAATTTATAGCATTGATTTGCCCGTCCCTTCAAACGGACGTCGGCCCAAGACTTTCGAAAACATTAGAAAAATTTGGAAACTTTGTGAAATTCTGAAGGTTCGAGCGAATTTTCAGGGAATGACAGGGTGAAGGTTGGGAAGTGATTGAAAGTTGTGTGGGGCTTGGAATAATACGGCCGCGACGCTCCCTCTTATCAGTCAGAAGACGAGAATTTTTCCGGGCCGCCAAAAGCCACAAATAATTTTTGGGGGAGGAGGGGGATGGGTTTTAATGGGAATTTGAGGGGGAATTGGGTGACGCTTTTCGGGAGGGTTAAGCCTATTGTCGAGATGATCTCCTCCCCCCACTCACACACCTTCAACTTCATGGTGATGTCAGGCTATCAAACACAGAAAATGATGAAAGATGGAGTGACGAATTCCGGAATTCGGAGCCTTCCGGAAAATGAGTCGCCGATTCCGGGTGAGTACTATGAACGCTGGGGTGTGTGGAGTACTGTGACGTAGTCGTTGTGCTTTGGAATAGCATCAAATCCGGCTGATAAATCCCGATTTGGCTAAAAAATTGCAAAACTTGTAACTGGAACCGATTCCGGGTGAGTACTATGGAGATTCGGGTGTCGAGGGTACTGTAACGCACTGTAGCGCTTTGGAATACCATAAAAATGAGGCTAAAAAAGAAAAATTTGGATTTTTCTCAAATGGTCTCTGCTAGCCAGCTCCTAAACGATCTATGGATGTCTGCCCATCCTCAAGAATAGCTGCTAGTTTCTTTTCCTAAAGAACCTCTGCTACCGAGCCCCTTCCTAAAAAATCTCGGCTAGCCCGCCGTTTCCTAAAGAATCTCTGCTTGGGTCTCCTTTCCTAAAGAGTCTTGGCTAGCCAGCCTTTCCTAAGAAGGCTGGGCTAGCTTGCCCTTTCCAAATAAGCTCTGCAATCCCGCTTCCTAAAGAATCTCTGCTAGCTAGCCTCTCGCGATTTGGCTGCAAATTTCCCAAATTACCTCTGCCAGCCTGCACTTTTTCTCCCCTCCCCCCAACCAGGTGACACTACGCTACGCAACCAACTACGCACGTACACCCCGTGATCTTTGTGCGGAAATCTGCTAAAAACATAAAATGGAATTCTCCATAACCCGCCAGCTTATCCCCCACCCACTACACCTCCCTCCAATAACAAAAAACCGGCCCAACTATTATGAATTATCCACCCGATAAAGCGCCAAATAAAAAGTTGACCCGAAGCTGCTGGGGGGCAAAAAATTGGAAAAATAATTCCCAAAGTCTGTGGGTGCCCAATTTTGAGGGGCTGGGCCCCGGAGGAAATGGGAAGTGGTGGGGTGTCTTTTGGAATGGAATGGAATTCGTTAATTAGCTAGGGGTCCATTTTTCGGTCCAAAAAGAAAGGCCAACCCGACCCGTTTCGGGAGTAAAATTTGAACTTTTGCGGTGAAAATTCCGGAAAAAATTCTGGTAGATTGCAGCAAATTTTGCCATGGATTTTTGCCCTTTTAAATTACTTTATTTTTAAAGGATCCTATAGGCTATCCTTTATATTTTAAAAGGCCTGGGATTTTAATACTTAATATTAATATTAATTTAATCTTAATTTTAATATTAACCAGGGTTGAAAAGCCGCTTCGCGACTTTTCAACCCTGGCCCCGTCTGATCTCATGATCTATTTCACTTTGCATAATTCTCGATTTCCGATGATAAAAAATGCAAATCGCCCCTTCTACCCATTATATAGGCTGCCGTCACTTCCGGCGCATGCTAATTTTTTCCTAACAAAGAGGGTCCCCGATTTTTTAACATAAACCTAAATTTAATGTCGAAAATAGGCAATTTTGGTAAATCTGATAAGCGTGCAGTCATCCCAGAGCCATTACGCACCTAATGACGTATCATACATACCTTAAAATTCATCCCCTATCGAGATATCCTCCGGACACCCTGACGGAAGTTGCAGCAAAGTGGCTCACACACACAAACACACAGACTATTTTTTTTCCAGGGTTGAAAAGCCGCTTCGGCTTTTCAACCCTGGCGCCGTCTAACTTGATGATTCTTCACTCTGCAAGTCTCTCGAATTCCTTGGGGGGAAAAATGAGGAATTACACTCTCCCGTTTTATATAGGCTTCCGCCACTTCTGGCGTATGTTAATTATTTCCTAACAAAGAAGGCTGCCGGATTTTTCAACAAAACTCATCTTAATGTCGAAATGCATAATTTGCAAAATCTGATTGCGTGCAGTCATCTCGGGGACGTTACGCACCTTGACGTATCATACGTAGCCTACGCCTTTCCCTCTTGGTATCCTCCGGACACCCTGACGGAAGTTGCATGCAAATGCACAACACACACCCTATTTTTTTATATATTTTATATATAATATTATTAATTAATTTTTCGAGGGCTGGCATTGAAAGAAAATGGTATTTTCGCCACAACTAGACAAGCTTCCAGTGTGAAAAGTGGATTTCCAAACTTCCATGCTCCTTTAGATGGTTTATCTCAATCGTTAATATCTCTTAAGGGGAGCATGAGCTCGTGCTCTGCTAGTCACCCTAATTGTCAACGGTAGTCACTTTAAAACCATGGATTTTGACTTCCTGGGCCCTTTAAAGGGAGCGTGACAACTACAAAAAGGGCTATATTTTTCAAAAAAGCATATCAAAAAATAAACAGAGATTTTCCAAATCTAATAAAGAGAGAGGAAAGGCAAAATCCTTCCAATTCCGGTAGAATTTGGCTTGCCAGCTCCTTTAAGGGAAGCGTAACAGCAAATATAGCAGCCTGAACCCTCCCGAAAATCGCGTTCTCTTACAAGTGGTGATTCAGGGGGGGCTCACAAACTTGCTAATGCCGAAAAACACGTTGTGACGCGGTGTTGTGAGTATTGTAGCGTTGTGCAGGCCGGGGTCAGAAAATATAACCCGAGTGGTGGTCATTAAAGCTTATCATATGTACGGGGCTTTCGTCATCGGAAAGGTTGTTTGGATGGCATGACCGGATGTGTGGAGTCCTTTGAAAATTCCGAAATCGAAAAAGTGGGTTCCTAAGGAATCTGTTCTAGCCTGCTTTCTTAAAGGGATACCGACGGCATAGGTTGATCACCCCGGGTCGTCTTTTGGCACGCAGAGAGCGCGCCCAGGGGCGAGACGCAGAGACATTTTCTTTCCCTCGCGTCACCGATTATTTATGCCGTCGTTATCCCTTTAAAGCGCACGTTCAGGGAGGGGCCGTGACCGTCCCAACGTAACCTCTGGCGTGCCTGCCCGGTTTCTAGGAAATTCCGCAAGTTGCCATTTCCTCAGGAATCCCTGCTAGTCTGCCCTTTCCTCAAGAATCTCGTCTAGCCTGCCCTTTCCTGCTGGCCCCCTTACCTAAAGAATCTATGCTCGCACGCCTTTCCTAAAGAATCTCGGCTAGCTAGCTTTCTTAGATCAAGGCTGCTAGCCTGCCGATTCCCAAGGGATCTCAGCTAGATTGCTATCCACTGTCAATCGATTACGCAATAAAATCCGTCATACGGCGCCCTTTTTATAGCGCTTTATTTCTACCGTACCTAACGCCTGATATCTGGGCACGCAAGATAGTTTTCCCCAAAGAGTCTCGGATAGCCAACCTTTCCTAAATAATCTCTGCTAGCTCGTCAGGTCTCTAGGAAACGCTGCTAGCTTGCCGTTTCCTAAAGAATCGCTGCTAGCCTGCCATCCTCTGTCAATCGATTACGCAAGGAAATTGATCGGAATAAAGTAATTTGTTGTGTCTGAATAAGATAGCTATTTCAAAGGAACCTCTGTTAGCTTGCTTTTCCTAGGTTATCTCTGCTAGCCCACCTTCTCCTCAAGAATCACCGCTGGCCTCCCTATTCCTAAAGAATCGCCGCTAGCCTGCCATCCTCGGTCAATCGATTACGACATCAAATTCGTCTGCATAAAATGTGTATCATCGTCTGTCCTTTCTATATGATGCCATTTCCACCATACACCTCCTGACACCTAATAGCAACTCTTTTATTTCCACAAAAAAGAGAGGGCTTTGCTTGGGTTGGTGGGGGCAGCGAGGCCAAAATTTTGTAAGAATTTTTGGTGGGCATCAGATTGGAGTGATGATGGGGCGAGAGAGCGAGAGAAATAGAGAGCACGAGAGATAATTCGGGGGAGTAGTGTTGACCTGTTGCTGAAAGGTGGATACGGTACAGTAGAGGAGGGCACGGAATAGCAGGGAAATTGGGGGAAGGGGGGAGGTTTAATAGCCGGACAGCTCCTGGAAGGTCTGGTCGAGCTCCTCGGAGATGTTCTTGTACCTGTCCTTCTCGTGCACCAGCTCGTCTGAAAATTGGCGATTATATTGAAAGTTGAATTTTTATATAGAGTTGAGTTATATATGCAAATTAATAAACATTAAACATAATGGATTAGAATATTTAGTTAATATTATTTTATATATACACAATCGTTTATTTTTATATAGAGCTAAGAGTATATAAAATTATTAAACATTAAAAATATGGGACTGGGATACCAAATTAATTAATGTTCTTTTATATATACAAGTATTTTTTATAGAGTGAATGGCTATAAACAAAAATCAATAAAAATTTGAAAAATTATGGATTAGAATCTTAGATGTATATCATTATTTTATATACGCTGTATTAAGCGCTAAAATCGATTAATTTTAGTAATTTAGAACATGAAAGATATAGGTTTGTATGGATTATGAAATATATATTTAAGTATTAAGTTGTAAAACTAAATTATGCATTTTTACAATTAATAAGAATTATAATAGCTATTTAGTTATTTCAGCGTTAATCACCTGATTTTTTGAAGTCGAAAAAGAGCTTAAAATCTTTTATATAGCGTTTTTAATTTTATTTGGGCTTGATTTACCTATATGTTTTTAGATATGGAAATAGATTTAAATCTGACAAATCAAAACTAAAAATCCTCGAAAAAATACAAAAATTTAATCGATTTTGGTAGTTTTGCGAAATTTCCTGTCAAATTTGGATGAAATTAGCATGAGAGACCGTTTACGAATGTTTTTAATAACTGGAAATAATAATATAATTTCTATAAAATGTTATATAATTTCAAACCTTTTTTTATTTTTATCCCGTAAAAATCACCATTTTATTTATGTTATTTTGAATGCACATTCCCTTTCACACCATGCCGTTTTATACAATTCACACAATTCTTATTATTTATTAAAATTAATAATGTTGTTTTTATTCGCACAGTTCACAGGAGAGAAGGGAGGGCCAAATCACATAAAATGGTATATTAAACGGGAATAGTCTTAAAGTATCCAAATTTACATGCATAATGCACACACGCGCGGAATAAGTAGTCGAACGGAATCGAAATAGAGGAGGGGAGGAGAAGGATCGGAGAAAAGGGGATTACTAGTGTGGCTGCTACCGGAATTTCTTGGAAAAGCTCGGGTTACGGTAGCTTAGGCTTGGCTTAGGCTTAAGTTTGGGCTTGGCTTAGGCTTGGGCTTCGCTTGGCTTAGGCTAAGTTAGGCTTAGCTTAGACTTCTTTGACGCTTGCTTAGGCTTATGCTTAGCTTAGGCTTGGCTTAGGCTTAGCTCAGGTTTTGAGGCTTTGCCTAGGCTCAGCTACAGTAACCCTGTCAAGAAGATAGTCTTTTCTAAATATTGCGCATCGAAAGGTAGAGAATTTGTGGAAATGCGAGAGAGAGAAGAGAGAGACGAGAGAGCGCGAGGGAGAGCGAGAGAAAAAGAGAAATTTTTGAGCAACAAAAAAGCTT